CTCCTATGTGCAGGTTGTTCTCCTTGTTGGGAGTTTGAATCTCCTCTTGTGGGTGGTTGTTCTCCTTTTTGGGAGTTTTGTTCTCCTCTTGTAGGAGTTTGTTTCCTCCTCTTTTTGGAGGTCTTTTTTTCTTAGTATCGTGTGTGTGTTGTGGTATTTAGGCTCCTTTTGGGATGTCCTCTCAATTCGGTCATTTGGCCGTGTGTTTGTAATTATGTGTGACTTTAATGAAAATCTATCGTTTGGGAAAAAAAAAATGTGTAGGGAGGAGATGGAAACATCAATGTAGGTCCATTAATCTTTTTGGTTATCAAGTGGACCCCTTTTCATCACAGGTACATCACACCAAATCTATTGTTTTGTAAATTAATATTGAATAATGTTATAATCTTTACCATTTTAATCTATTTTTTGTAGGGACCCTCCGATAATTGAAGATAATGGTGTTGTTAGCAAATGCACTGTCTCATCTATTTTTTAGATTGACTCTTTATTGTGGTATAATAGTGTTGTTAGTGACATTCATTTTGTATATTGTTCTTATGGATTCATTTTGGTGAAAGGTCCAATCTTACTTCAGTGGTGCTTTAAAGAAGACTACATAAGGTTATTGTTCTGATAGATGTGTATAGTTTTACTACATTTTGTTTCTGGTGCACTTTGAATGCAATTTTCTTTTCCATTTATGCCTCTCTTGAGGTAAAAGAGCAAAAAATAGGGGAATGTGTAGATTTGTGTTGTGGTTTGGAATAAGTTCATGTTACACTTGCAATAGCAGATACTCACCAAGATAATAATATCTTTACTCCATTCATTTCTGAGATCATCATATACATATATATTACAAAGACAATTTTCTTTCTTTTGATCCAATTCCAACGGAAAAAAAATGAAGAATGTTACATTGTAAACAACAGACAAACACAACCTGCAGACTGCAGCCAACTTATCCAAGGAAAAAAAATGAGAAATAAAACACCAGCAAGCTCTGAAAGTACTCCTTACACCAACTTGTTAAGATAAAAGATAAATAAAAATAAATGGAACAGTACAAAAAATAAAATAAAATAAAATAAAAAATACACTATTCATTTCCTTCACATCACAAAATAGATATTCATGTCCAAGTAGTAAAAATACCAACTCTTTTATTAATAATAACAAGCATTACAATTACTACTAGAAAGAACACAAGTAATAAATCAAAAATCTTATCAAGTTTTTTTTTTTATTATTATTTTCACATCTTTGTAGCTCTCACGATCCACTATAGCTTTCTCGCTTGTGCTAACTTCTTCCCTTATGCTTACTTCGTCTTCATTTATTGGATTAGCTCAACCATAAATCCATCTCTATCACAAACGTAATAGAGTTTTTGAAAATTTGGACTTCGGGAGCCAGCAATCCTAATTGCAAGTTTGATTTCACATTGGTCACATATTTTATCCTCATACTTCAGTCTACTTGGTCTTCCAAATTTCTTAGTGATTGAAGTCTGTGACATTTTCAAACTTTCAAAAGAATAAAGTTTGAATTTGGAATGTTATTATTCAAGCAACAACTCGATGCCCAAACCCAAATTCAATCAATAGAACAAGCAAGAAAGAATCACACATTCGAAATTCAATTATACCTGGTAGGCTCATCCTATATGGCTAACAGACATGTGTAAAGGAAACATTAAGGAACAAATTCTCAATGATTGCATCACATGAAAGATTTACAAGGAAAAATCCAAAAGTAAATGTGGTCCAGATGTCCTATACAATTATTCGAATGAACAACACGTGTAGATATCTTAGGACAATTAACATCAAGTGTTCACAAGTTAGTAAACTTTGGCCAAATAACGAACATAAGATTGAAACGACATATAACGATAAAACTTTAATGTGCAGCTAAAGAATGTAGTCAAGCACAACTTAAAAGCAAAGATCACGTGAAAGACAACCAATGGTGCCTAGGAGAATTGCAAGGATAAAGATTAAATGGCAAGTCAAACATATGACAACAATCATTAGCATATTCACATGATTTTTATTTTATACTAAAGGCATAAGTACATTATATTAGAATAACAGATAAAAAATCGAACTTTAAATGGGGAAAACAACATGCAATTAGACATAAGAAAAGGAACCGGGGTTGAATGCTGCAAACAAAAAGAAATGGTGAAGAATTTCGTCCAAGATTCTGTACCTGTGAATCGGCGTTGAATGCTGCAATCGGGCCAGCGGGCGATGGTTTTCTCTCACAGATAGATGTTCTCTCGTGATGAAACTTTTTTGCGGTAAATGAAAAAAAAAAACCTGAAATCAGATCTGATTTGAATTTGATTTTAATCTAATAGGTTTGGCAACCATGGTTCCTAACTATGGTTACAAGTAAATGAAAAAAAAAAAAAAAAACTGAAATATAATTTACCCAATCGACTTCAACATTCAAGATACGTAACACCTCTGTTATGCACAATCGATATTTTTGCAAACTAATAGTTAAAAATCAGTAAAATTTTTGACAATCGTGGTGATGAAATCTGAAATTTTATCGTGAGAGAGAGACGATGTTTGAATATTTTTTTTATTCACAGATAATTAATTATGTGTGATTGCTCAAATGACAGGGGCATAACGGGACATTTGAAAAAAAAACGTAACGGTGTTAATACCCAGACAAAAGTTGGGGAGCGTCTGCTGGCCAAAGTATAATACAAGGGGGTTTGACGCAATTTTTAAAATACAAAGGGATAATGCGCAGATTTAGTATAATACAGGGGAGTTTGGTGCAATTAACCACAAAAAAAAATGGTGAAGAATTTCGTCCAAGATTCTGTACCTGTGAATCGGTGTTGAATGCTGCAATCGGGCCAGCGGGCGATGGTTTTCTCTTACAGATAGATGTTCTCTCGTGATG